AGAAAAAAAAATGCCAGGACTTAGTGGGTTCACAATGATCTCATAACGAACAAAAGCAGAGAAAGGTGCCATTACTGTGGTGAGCTGAAGTGATTTACACCTCTGAGTTTGCTTCTCCCTCTGAAGATGAGGCAACATCTCATCCTCATAGTACTGACACTCTGGACCAAAGCGCAGAATCCTCCATCCTGACAGAAGAACAGACCGCTCTTCTTCAGGCAAAGCTAGTAACGTGGGACCAGTCAACCCACATCCAACCCGAACCCTCGCTTCTGCTTCTGAGCTATCCATCATCAGCCCTGCATTCGGAGTCCTTCTGCCTGCAGAGTCTCATGATGACCACCAGAGGGAGTAGCTGTCACTGTTAAAAGCTGACTTCCGGCTTGCAATTTCCCCTCTACCTGCCCTCTCCTTCTGAAATTTGGTTTCTGAGCCTGGGGATTTTATGGAATTTTCGGGTGCTTGGGGACGTGGAAAGTGCGATAAAGGACAAGGGAAATGCTGGATTTTAATGAGTCATAAGAAGTCAAAGGGAACCTTCATTCTCTTATAAAAATCAGTTTCAAAGGCTGCGGTGGTGGCACATGCCTAATATGAAAGAGAGAGGGGGAAGAGAGACAGAGACAGAGAGACAGAGAGAGACAGAGGCAGGGGAGAGGGGAAAGAAGGGAGCGAAGAGACAGAAGAGAGAGAGGAGAGAGAGGAGAGAGAAGAGAGAGAGGAGAGCATGTGAAAACACTCACAGGCACACACAAGCGCACACTTGTAACCCTAGTACTCTGGAAACTGAGGTAAGAGACAACCATGAGTCAAGGCCAGCCTGGACTATTTAATGAGCTCTTGGCCAGCCAGGGCTACCTAACAACACCCTGTCAATCAATCAAGCAACAGTGTCATCAACTACACAGCTTTGAAAGCTCTGAAACATAGCAAAGAAATGCAGAAAATTAAGAACAATCTTATCAGAGAAGAGGACTACCTAGAAATAGAATTACTTAACTTCAGTGATGTGGAAATGCAATATGACAGCATTTTACAACTTGGCGAAAGAGAAGGCCTGGCCAGGAACAGCCAGGGCTACGCATGCACAGGAACTCTCAAGTGTGTGTCCGTCGAAAACAGTTTGGCCCCAATCTTCAACTCAAATACTCACAGCCTCTTAGATTCAGCAGTAGAGTTGGACATTCTGAGACCGCAGAAAGGGGATGGAAAAGAGAGGGCTGAAGCCACCAGGGAGTGGTAGGCATCTTCTGTAGGAGAAGCTAGCTGTGCAGAAAATGGCTTTAACAAGAAATCCCCAAAAATGATACCCAAATGGCCAGGAAGCATACTGCAATGAGCTAAACCTTATTAGATGGTAGGGAAATGTAACTATAAACACAGAGAATAACACTCATCAACATGGTTACAGGGCATTGGGGAAGATCCTGGGTTCCATCCTGGCAACATAAAAACAAAAGAGTCACAGCATTGAGAAAGACCAGACCAGTAGCTGTGTCCCCACTTCAGAAAACCACATAACTTGGTACTGTGATCCACCAACTTCACTCCCAGGCATACACCACACAGAAGTGAACAAGAAGGTGTATAAGAGGCCAGCAAGATGACTTAGCAGATAGAGGAGCTTGTTGCTGAGCTTGGACCTGAATTCAACCCCAGAACCCACGTAAAGGTGGAAGGAGAAGATTGACTCTATAGAGTTGTCCTCTGGCCTCCATACATGTGCTGTAGCATATATGTCCCAAAACAGCACCCACGCAAAATAAATAATGTAATAAATTTACAATATGTGCAAGAGTGTTCATAGTAACACAACCCACAGTAGGCAGAAACCCATCAGCAGGAATAAACCAAAATAGTCACACGAAGAATACTACACAGCAAGAAGTACCTTACCAACATACAATGCCAATGACTCAAATGTACAGTTTTTGAGCCAAGCAATCCAGTCTCCAAAGAGTAAATACTGTTTGATTCCTTTTTTACAAAGTTTTAAACTGAGACAAGGCTGGGAGGGGTGGTGAGAGCCATGGTCCTAGTGCTTGGGAGGCAGAGGCAGGGAGAGCAGAGTTATCATTAGCTATGTGTTTAAGATCTCTGGGCCCATGAGATACAGCCTTAAAAAATAAAGAAAAGTTAGCCATTGGTTGTGGCGCACAACTTTTATCCCAGCATTCAGGAGGCAGAGGTAGGAGTATCTCTATGAATTCCAGGCCAGCCTGGTCTACAAGTCAGGGCTCTTCACACAGAGAAACCTTGTTTTGGAAAACAAAAAACAACCCTCCCCAAACCCAAACAACAACAAAAACCCAGCCCCCAAAACAAAAACAACAACAACAACAAAAAGGTCAGAAATTAAATTTAATGACACTGATGTTGGGATTGGAGCAATGAGATTGGGTGTGGACGCAGGCCATACTCCTAACCAAGAGCCTATCTGCAATTGGTTCCCAATTACAAAGGAAATATTAGTATTTCCCAATGGAGTCTTATTGGACATATTTACCACACTTCAGGGCAGTCTCCATGCCCAGGAATGGATGACCAACACAAAATGAGCTAAATGGTATTTTGGTAGACTTTTTGTCTCACGTTGCTTTGTTTGGGAACTTTTTTATTGGCCTTTTGCTTGTTTACTTTGGTTTCAGATTTTTGGTGTGTATGTTTCTTGTTTGTTTGTTTGTTTGTTTGTTTTTCCAAGAGCAAGAAAGAAAAGGTGTATAGTTGAGTGGGTAGGGAGGATGATCTGGGAGGAGTAGGGGAAAAGGAAAATTGTGATCAGAATATATTATGTTTTTTTTTTCAATTAAAAATTAAGCATGGTTGGGTTGTGGTGGCACACACCTTTAATTCTGGCACTCAGGAAGCAGAGGCAGGTGGATCTCTGAGTTAGAGGCCTGGTCTATAGAGGGAGTTCCAGGACAGCCAGGTCTATACACAAAGAAATCCTGTCTTGAAAAACCAACCAAACAAACAAGCAAAACAAGTGATGGTCCTGGGGTGTGCCTCAGTTGGCAGAGTGCTCTGCTCATCTATAGAGCACGAAGCCCTGGGCTCCATCTGATACCTGCATGGACCAAATGTGGTTATGTATGCCTGTATCCCAGCCTTGAGGAGGGAAACCCGAGGATTAGAAACTCAAGGTCAGCCTTGGCTAGATAGTAAGTTTAAGGCTAGCCTGGGCCACACATAAAAAAGAATCAATCTAGAATTAAAAAGAAGCAGAGATGAGGATGACAGAAAGCTGTGAGAAGGGAAGAAGATGTGATGGCCAAGGATGGGAGGGACATTGGCTATGCTCTTTCTGCCTTTGTTTTATTGGTCACTTAGTGACAATAGCAGGACTGATTTTATTTTATGAAAATATGCTACTTTTTTTTTTTCTCTGACTGATGGAGTTGTGGTTGGTTAATGTACTACTCCCCAAGCTCCTTGTGTAATGGAGTGGTTCTCTTAGAGGGGTGTAAGCTTAGTGGGAGACAGATAATTGGAGAGAAAAGCCTTTTCTTTTTAAACCTTTTGTCTCAGTTTTTGCTTTTGTTTTGTTGTTGTTTTTGTTTGTTTTTGAGACAGAGTCTTTCTATGTAGTCCCAGCTGGCCTGGAACTTGCTATGTAAACCAGACTGTGGTCTCAAACTCACAGCCCTGAGTGAGGCGTTAAAGGCAAGCACTACAAGCACTCCTACTCACAGACACATCTCAGAACATAAAACAGCACATGTGTGATACATTTTAAATCAACTTCTACCTCTACAGAGGCAGAGATTCTTTTCTTGGGGTGTGTGTGTGCACGCATGTGTACGAATGTACATGCACATGAATGCTGGTGCCTGCAGAGGGCAGAGGTGTCAGATCCCCTGAAGCTGGAGTTGCAGGTGGTTGTGAACTTGGCTACATGGGTACTGGGAATAGAACTGGTGTCCTCTGCAAAATCAAAAAGCAATCTTAACAGCGGGGAGCCATCTCTTCCCCCACAGAAAAACATTTAGAAAAACAAGCAGCCGAGCAGACATGGTAATGGATAGATGTGGTTGGAAAAAAAAAAAAAAAAAAAGAATCTCATGTGACTCTGACTATAACCTCAGCAATTGGGGAAGTAAAATTACTCTTTGCCATGATATGTAAGATGATGGATGGTCCCTACCAAGCATTTCCATGAAGGTATTAAGTGATCATCTAGGTCTTCAAGTCTAGAGGTTGGGGAAGAGTTCAGAGCTGGAAGCTCCAGTTCTGGAAGTCCTTTCTGTGTAGACAGAAAACAAGTCACCAGCCCTAAGGCAGTCTTCATGGGGCATGAAGAATCGGGCCAGGCATAGTGGTACCTGCACCTCTAATCCCAGCACTGGGGAAGCAGAGACTAGAGGCCAGCCTGGTCTAGATAGCAAGTTCCAGGCCAGCCAGAGATCATGTCTCAAACTGAAGAGGATGAGAAGGAGAAGGAGGAGGAGGAGGAAGGAGGAGGCAAACAAAGGAGTCCATGAAACAGTAGCTTGGAATCTGGCAGCAAAACCAGAGTGGCTTCAGCGAAGTGAGATGACCCAAGGAGACCGAGGCTGCTGATAGGCATTTTTGTGGAATTTTGATGTGTGAAGTGTGAAGATGATCTACACTGGGAGGGAGATGGAAAGGCCCTGAACACAGCCTTTCTGTGTTAAATAAGCAGAGGGATGGCTGATGGAGAAGATGTGGCCAGAGGACTTCCTGATGGGAACTGTTGCAGCTTGTTTGTGGAGGGGGGTGGGGCAGGAATTTTGGGATAAAGAAAGGAAAGCAGTAGGTGGTGAGAGTTGCCACTGCATTCCCCTTGGGGTTTCACTGTGTCTTGAGCAGGATTCCTGAGGCCTGAAAGCTGGTTTGATAGATAAGGCATTGATTGCCTAAGATGACTAATAAGGATCGAACAAGTGCCTCTACCTCCTTCCTTTAGTCTGGTCCCAGCAGCAGGATTCCAAGGTTTCCTCTTGGTAAAAGGATCTGGCGTGGGCGGAGCAAGGAGGCCCTGGCGAAGGCTGGGCAGGACTAGGCTGGGCTGGGCTAGCTCCTTCTGCCTGGAGCACACCGGTGTGTGTGGAGCCTCCGGAGGCAGCTCAGCATGGTGGAGTTCGCACCCCTGTTGGTGCCATGGAGGCGCAGACTACAGACCCTCGCAGTCCTGCAGTGGGTCTTCTCCTTCCTGGCCTTGGGTAAGAGGGTAGCCGCCGGCACACGGGAAGGGCCGGGCAGCCCCAGCGGGAACACAGGATGCTTGATAGAGAGGGGCTTTGCTGGGCTCACAGCTCCTGTGCAGAGAGGTTCCTGGGGTCTGCCGGAGCTTTGTGTGGATAAGTAAGTAGGGTCTTATATATCTTAGGAAAGCTTTAGTTTCCGGGATTGGGGGTGGGCAGTTTACCCCAGGCTCTTGCTGCAAGCTGCCGAGGGGCGTGGAAGCAATCAAAGCTGGGAAAAGCGCACCCGGGCTTCCTGCTACTCGGACAATCCGCTCTCCATTTTACCATTCAGAAAAGGGGAAGTGGAACTAAGGCCAGGAAAGAAGGGACCAGACTCTGCTTCCCCAGCTGCATGATGGGGATGGCGATGTCACCCTATGGGGTCTTTGTAGATAAAATGCAGGAAGCTGGGAACCCAAGGCAGACCTGGCCTGGCTACTTAGGTGTGGATCTGCCCCCATCCACCACGCCCCACTGATGCATGGCTGGACTCCAACTCTGCTGTGGACCAGGAAGGGAGAGCGTCAGGGAGCACATGGGACTCTTAATCTCCTTTGCTGGCACCAGACTGGGGGAAGACTGCCACTCTGGGATTCCGCCTGGGTACAGATACTGCTGGTTGGCTGTCAAAACATTCACATGCTAGGTACTTGTTGGTCACACACACATATGCACAAGTATACACACATGTGTGTACATGGTCCTTAGGATTTAATCCTGCCAAGTGGGCCTTCCAGGGCCCTGCCTCTAACACCCATTTTAATTGGTTTGCATCTCTATCCCAGGGTTAGTAAACATTTAAAACAGCCAAGCAGAGACATGGTATACTTGAGAGGCCCAGGCTGTAAATCAGGAGCCTGGCCCTGCTCCTTCCAGTGGAAGAAGGTCTGAGGGATGGGCAGAGAGCATGGGCGGAAGTGTGGATATAGACAATAGCTGATGGGCAAAGAAAACAGAGAGCAGGAGGCCTAATCCTAGAGCTGGCTTGGGTCAGAGGACACGAGACTCAGAGCCCTGTAGGCCATAACCATAAGCTCACAGGGGCTGAGGGACACAAAACTGCCATCTGTAACCCTGAGGGTGGGAGTGTGTCTGACTGGACGAGCTTGCCCTGTGGTATCCGCCTGGCCCTGCTCTCACACAGATCTAACAAGATCAGGGAGTATAGCACAGGTGCCAGGCCACCTGAGCCAGGAGGAGCAGGAGGAAGCAAGGAAGCTCTGGGCTCTGTCGTGCCAGAGTGGGTGGTTTTACTTTACCCCTTATCCTGAGGGCAAAGGAGAGCCATAGGCCCAGCAGGGAAGTGACAAGGTCCAACCTTGTGTTAAAGGTCCCTGTGCCTACAGCTGATTTTCTACTGTGTGAGAAGATCAAAGGCAAGGCAATCAAAGTCTGCATCAGTAGTCACCAAATCAGGGCCCATGGGCCAAGACACACTCTCTGTCTCTGTCTCTCTGTCTGTCTGTCTCTCTCTTTTGTAGTCTAAGATTCAGAGGTTTTTGCCATTTCTAAAAGATTAAGTTTTGGACTGCAGGCCTTTAATCCCAGGAGACAGAGGCAGTTGGATCTCTGAGTTCGAGGCCAGCCTGGTCTACAGAGTGAGTTCCAGGACAGCCAGGACTACACAGAAAAATCTTGTCTTGAATCCCCAACCCCCTAAAAAAAAAAGCTAATCAAATTTTAAACTACTCACATGCTTCCAGAATGTCTTCTAATTTGCATTTTACATCACAAGTTCCAAAATGTCCAAATTTGCTATCCTGCCTCAATTTTTTACTTTGATGGTGAGGATGATAGTGAAGGAATGGCCTCAGGGCCTTAAAAGCATGAGAACCTGAGTGTGAGTTCCAGAATCTCTGTAAAAATGTCAGGCATTGTGACACATGTCATCTCAGTACTGAGGAGGGAGAGTCAGGAAGATCCTTGTCACTCAGTGGCCAGCTAGACTTGCCTAATGAGTGAGCTCCAGGCTACTGCCAGTCACCGGCTCAAAAGGAGGTGGATAGCCCTCCTGAGGTTGACACTCAGGGTGGTCCTCTAGCCTCCACACACATGCAGACAAGTGTGTGCACACACTCACCCGCAGGACATGTGTCTAAACATCACACATCTGTCTTAACAGAGAGGCCGGGGGGAAGTGGGTGGGGGTGGGGTCCACAGATGCACTACCTAAGGGAGCTTTTAAAGAATAGTGAGGGCTGGGCTGGGGAGAATGATTTCACTGGTCACGTTGGCTGCACAAACACCAGGTGGGGTTGGTGACCTGCCTATAATATTAACACAGAGTAAGCGGAGGCAAGGGCTTCCTAGAGCAAGCTGGCTAATCAAATCCATGAGTTCTGGATCCAAGAGAGACCCTCAACATCAGAGAGTCACAGATAGAGATCAGAGAGGTAGGAGAAGACACCTATAGCAACTCCAGCCTCCCTAAGGGCACCTGAACACACGTGCCCACATATGAACATACATTCATACAAACATGCATACAAACCACATACACATTGAGAGAAAATACAATGTAAATCTAAGTCAGATCCCAGGCAGGGAAGGTGTGAAGGAGAAAGAAAAGACTATGTTATCTGAATAGCCAGTTCAACAGGACATGTGGAGTGTATTTTTCAAAATGGCATGGAAGTAGCTGGGAAAGTCAATCAGGTCCAGGCACCAAAGGCTCAGGCCCAGCCAAACGCATTCCAGATGGACTGCTCCTCTGCCTCTGCTTCTTTTCCTCTTACATGACTCTCATGGGAGAGCATGATCCCTCAGTGTTGGCCTATGCTCATCTTAGCTGGTTTTGTTTTATATTTGTTGAATGGATGAATGGCATGGGCCAGGCTCTGACTCTCAGGTTTTACCCTGCTAGCTTGCTGCGTGACCTTAACCAGTGTGCATACCCTCTCTGAGCCTCTAAAAAGGAGGGATTTAAAAAACCCCAGGCTCCCCCCTCTTCTTTCCCCTTCTCCATTTAATCTTTCCATTCCTTTCTCTTCCCTGCCTCATCATAACTACATATTCTATTTCCCCGTCCTTGGGAACTCCTCCCCTCCTCCCAAGTCCCTTACTTTATACTCAACCTCTGTGGTTATATGAATTGTAGCATATCTACTAAAAGCTATCAAGCTAACATTCACATATAAGCATGTACATATTTGTCTTTTGAGTCTGGTTTACCTCACTCAATGTTTTTGTTTTTTCTAATTCCATCCATTTACCTGCAAATTTTATGATTTCATTTTTTAGAAAATTAATATTTTATTGTGTAAAATTACCACATTTTCTTTATCCATTCATCGGTGGTGGGCATCAAAGTTGTTTCCAATTTCTGGCTATTACAAATACAATAGTAATAAACACAAAACAAACAAACAAGAAAGAAGCCTCAAGCTTAGCTGGGCATAATGGCACTCACCTTTGATCTCTGTGAGTTTGAGGCCAGTATGGTCTACATAGTGAGTTCCAGAACAGCCAGAGCAGCATAGTTAAACCCTTTTTTTTCCCCTAAAATGCCAAACCAAACCATCACCAACAAAAGAAGCCACTGGCTTATAGAAACTGGGTAAAAGAAGGAAGGGCTACCTCTCTAAACCCCAAGTCGACCCAGCCTGGGCTTACTGTTAACAGAAGAGGGAAAGCAGGATAGCCAAGCAGGATCTTTCTGGTCTAGGGGAAAGTGCTCTCTGTTTTCTTCTAAACTTTGTTTCTTTTTTCTGTCTGCAGAAGTAACTCATTCAAACAACATTTGAATCTTTAAGTAAACAACTTCCCATAATCCTCCCCTCCAAGTAGCCACTGTTAATAGTGAGTTTTTCTTCTTGAAAGAGTACCTTATTAAGTGAAAGCCACTGCAGAGACTTTTGGTTTGGAAAGAGCTGTAGCTGAAGTTTCATTTATTTATTTTACATTAAAAAAATTGGGGATGGGCTGGGGAGATGGCCCAGTTGGTAACCTTGCTTATGCAAGTATGAGGACCTGACTTGTTTCCCAGTGACCACATACCAAGCTGGAGGTGGCAGCATACACTTGTCAGCCCAGCTCTGCGAAAACTGAGAGGGCAGTTCCTGCCAATCATCCTTGTTTAATCAGTGAGCTCAGAAGATGGGAGGATGTAGGTGGGGTGAGCTCCAGGAGATAGGATTAGGGGTGAGGTCCAGGAGACAGGAGGAGGCAGGGGTGAGCTCCAGGAGACAGGAGGAGGCAGGGGTGAGCTCCTGGAGACAGAAGAATTGGGGCATTTCCATCAATTAGCCTCATTGAATCAGTGACCTCCAGAGTGTTGTAATTTAAGAAAAGTAGTGCTCAAGAGAAAGACACTAGGTGACAGGGTTCAGAGGCGTTTTTTATTAGGGAAGGAGCTCACAAAAGGGGTAAAGGAAGAGGGGAGACTGGCCTCTGGAGACGGGAGCAGCAGGAGAGAGGAGAATGGAAAGGTGGGAAGAGAGAGGAAAGAAGGGGTTAGAGAGGGAGAGAGGGGGGAACAGACAGAGAGAGGGAGAGAAGAAAGAGAAGGATAGGAGGTAGGCAGGGCTGCAGCTGAGGGTGTATTCCATCGGAACACCAAGGACAGGTCAGTACAGATGTCTGAATGCTAACACAGGTTAGAGGGCTTAGAGACTTACAGCAGTGGTAGAGCACCTGCCCAGCAAGTAAAGGTTAGATCCTCAGCTCCGGAGGGGAAAAAGGTGGACAGAGACAGAGGAAGACACCTGACTTTAGGACTCAACATGCACACCCAAAAAGTATGTACATGTACACACACACACACACACACACACACACACACACACACACACAGAGAGAGAGAGAGAGAGAGAGAGAGAGAGAGAGAGAAAGAGAGAGAGAATTTTTCTTTTTGAAATAAAGTTTTCTCTATGTAGCTGAGACTTAGCCTGAATTTGCAGTCCTCCTGTCTCAGCTTCCAAGACCCCTGATTACATGCACACACTATGGCAGCTACTGCTTTTATCCAGTGCAAAAGGTATAAATAGATACACCTTGAGCCAGCCTCCCTCCCTGTCTCCTGCTAGGAGGACCTCTCAGTCCCCTCCAAGAGCAGCTCCATCTGTGCAGGCCTCTGTTTCTACTCATGCTGGCATTCACTTCCAAGCCCTCTACAACTGTCTCTGAAGATATTTAAGACAAACAGAAAGTAACAAAGCCGTTTGACATTGCTGATCCTGCCTCTCCACCCCTTGGAGGGGTTCAGGCTGATGTGGAGGCGAAGCCCCATACAGATTAGACAGGATGAGCTTCTGGCTCAGAAGGAGGTCAGATACCTGGGGGACAGGCTGGCCCTCAAATTGGTGGCTGTAGCTGTCTTTTCTTCCAGATTTTCCGCAGACACCATTTGTCTGGTTTTGTGTATGAATCTTCCTTGTTTTGGTATTTGAAAATAATTTCATGGCATTTGAAAACAAAGGACAAACGTGGACTTAATCTAAGTGTCTACTAATGGAGAAGCAAATACACACAATAGGACATTAATGGAAAGGGGGTTGGGTGGGAGGAGGTAGGGGGTAGCCATGTCTCATGAGTATGGAGAGAGTTTCTGTTTAGGAAAATAAAGAGTTCTGGTGACAGATGACACTAATGGCTGCATAAGGAATCTACTTAATGGTACTGAGCTGTATACTCACAAAGGTAAGGTGATGCACTTTGTGTTCAGTACATTTTATTAGAATCGAAAACCTTTAGAACAGGGCTGGGGAAAGGACTCAGTGCAAGTGTGAAGACCAAAGTTTGGATCCCCAGACCCTCTGTAAAATGCTGGATAGGTAGGACAGTCTGCCAGTAATTCTAGCATATAGAGGGCAGAGATGGGGATATCGCAACAGGGCAGCTAGACTAGCCAGTACTGGTGGGATATGGGTTCAATTAAGAATAAAGTGGGAAATGATGGGATAACATGTTGATCACACATATGAACACATATACATGCACACCCACCACATACTAATGCAAAACCAAAACAAACAAACAAACAAAAAACCCCCAAACATTTAGAACAAAATATAAAATGCCCCAAACACAAAACTGGAAAGATAAGTTTCCAGGGGGCAAGATTTTATTGGTTGTTAATGGCTGGCCCACCAGCAGTTGGTACCTTGTAGATACTCCATGCAGAATGAGTATTTGTGGCTCTAATCCATACCCTCTGCCTTCTAAATCTTTATTGTTTACATTAGTCAAAAGTCCCCCTGTCCCACACCAGCAAGTCTGTCCCCTTAAACTAATATAGAATATTAGTTTAAGATGTATTACATTCGCTGGGCGATGATGGCACTTACCTTTAATCCCAGCACTTGGGAGGCAGAGGCAGGCAGATCTCTGTGAGTTCGAGGCCAGCCTGGTCTACAGAGCTAGTTCCAGGACAGACTCCAAACCTACAGAGAAACCCTGACCTTGGGGGGAGGGGAATGTATTACATTAATTTATGCTGTAGAATATTTGTTTGATGATGCAAAGATGTGTTGCATTCTTTTATGTTGCATTTGTTTAACTTTGTAAAGCTATGTTACTTTGTCTCCTAAAACACCTGATTGGTCTAATAAAGAACTGAATGGTCAATAGCTAGGCAGGAGGAGGAAGAAACAGGCAGAGAAATCTATAGAAGAGAGCCGGGAGTGAGAAAGGAGGGGAGGAGGACACCAGGGCCAACCACCCAGCCACACAGCCAGTCACAGAGTAAGAGGTAAAGAAAGATATATAGAATAAAGAAAGCAAAAGTCCCAGAGGCAAAATCGGTAACTTAAGTTAGAAAAGCTGGCTAGAAACAAGCCAAGCATCTCTCTTTCTGCCATTTCTCTGAAGGGGTAGTCAGGTCTTTGTCTCTCTCTGTCTCTGTCTCTCTCTGTTTCTGTCCCCCTCTCCCTCTGTATTTCGCTTTCTCTTTCCCTTCTCTTTTCCTACTCCCTACCCTTCCCCCAATAAAACTTCCCAAGTTAAAAAAAAAAAAAAAAAAAAAAAAAGGAGAAGAAAAGAAACAAGCCAAGCTAAGGCTGTCATTCATAAGAATAAGTCTCTGTGCATTTATTTGGGAGCTGGGTGGCAGGCCCCCAAAGAGTTAAAACAAAATTACAGTTCCCTATCTTCTCCAAGTAAACTTCACAACTGGGTCTGGCTTTCTTTAAGAATCTGAGGGCTGGGGATATAGCTCAGCTGGTAGAGTGATTGCCTAACATGTGCAAGGCCCTGGGCTGGATCCTCAACACTACACACACCAGGCTTGGTGGACACCTATAATACCAGTATTTGGGAGGCAGAGCTAGAAGGATTGGAAGTTCAAAATCATCCTTAGCTATACAGGGAGTTTGAGGCTAGTCTGTGATATTTGAGACCCTGCTTCACAGACAAAACAAAACAAACAATCAAAAAACCAAACCAAAAAACAAGAATCCAGGGGCTGGGTGTAGCTCAGTGGTAGGGAGAGCACTTGCCCAGCATGTATGGATCTGTGGGTTTGATCATAACACTAAAAGGAAAAACATCAGCAAATAAAAGGTGTTGCAGTGGTGAAGTGAGGTAGTATTCTATGGGAATGATGCTCTACCAGATGGGGTGTGGCCCATGGACCCGCTGCACCTGAGGTGATCAGGGTTCGTTTGCAGCATGGGTTCCAGAGCCACAGGCAAGAGAAACTCCTGCATTCACCCTGGTCCCCAGGGTTACCAGGCCATGTCCCCACAACACACAAAGCAGAGTAGGCTGGGTTTGAAAACACAGAGAAATCTGGGGTGGCTGGAACCCTGGCCATGTAGGTGCATAAGTTGGGGCAAAACAGGAGATATAGTGCCAGCTCACAGAGCTGAGATCCAGGCTGAGCTGTCGGGGCCTGGCCTTGCAGCAGTCGGACACCATGGCAGGGCCTTAGGAAGGAGTATGGGTTTAGCTTTGACTGAGGATGGACAGAAAGAGGGCTGGAAAGAAATTTCCTTTTTCTCCCGGAGTCTCAAAGGCAGAAGGCAGAAGCTAATTCAACCCATGGCTTCATTTGCTGAGTGCTGGTGAATGCGTATGACCTCCCCAGGGCAGGAGCAGTGTAGGTTGAGACATGTGGTGTAGTGGGGGAAATGATTTTAGAGCAGGCTCCATGCCAGTATGGTACATCCTAATATTTGAGGCATGGAAGCTGGGCTCCTTCCAGTGGTGTGGGCTGCACAGGGCAGTGTTGCTGGCGTGGGGGCGGGGCACAGTCATTGAAGAGCTAAATTGGGGTCTTAACTGCCTTCCTTGCAGCTCTCACGCTCCTGCTTCTTTCCTAGCCCAGATCTGCATCGCCATCTTCATAGGCCTCCTGTTCACCAGGTTCTGGCTCTTCTCTGTCCTATATGCCACCTGGTGGTACCTGGACTGGGACAAACCAAGGCAGGGAGGCCGGCCCATCCAGTTCTTCAGACGCTTGGTCATCTGGAAGTACATGAGGGACTATTTCCCTGTCTCTGTGAGTACCAGGCTTTGGGGGTGGGGTGGGATAAAGGGCCTGTGGGCCACTCATCTCTGTAGGGTCAGAAGGTCTGCAGAGCAGAAGGCTGGCTGAGAGGCAGGAGCCTGAGAGGCTGGGGGACTCGGGCCAGTGTGGACACTGAGGAGTAAATGTGGCTTGAAGGAGATATATGTGTCCTATAGGGGCACAAGCCATCAGCAGTCAAGGTTCTGGGTGAAGATGACAAACAGCAGGTCTTTAGAGACCCCCACCACCTGAGTCACGAGGCGCACTGTGAACTCTCCTACAAACTTAATGCTTCTGCACTGGTGTGGGACTGTCCCCAGAGTCTATCCTGCCTTACCGCTGGCAGGCTGTGAGTTCTTAGGCAAGGCTTGGCCCGAGCTGGCTCAGTGTCCCTAGCCATCAGTAAGTAGTGTGACATTCCCTACGTTAAGGATCCTCAAATCCTGGCGTCTTTGATTCATGGCACTTTCAGGTCATTGTGAACGTGTGGCCTTGGACTTGAAGGCTGGCCCTGAGTGAGCAGACTCTGGGGCTCCTTCAGTGGGATATAGATAGACTGAACCCCGAGAAGCCCAGGAAGTGCTGCTTACTGATGGAATGAAAAGAGATGAGGAAGCAGGGGCCAGGCCTGGGCACTTGGAGCATGGTTTACGGAGCTCGTCAGACTAGATCCTAAGCCAGCTCTGCCATGTAGTAGCAGCGTGACCCTGAGGTGGGCTGCCCAGTCTCTCTGTGATTCTGTTGTGGTCATATTTAAGACAGAGATAGCTGGGCATGGTGGCATGCACCTTTAATTCTAGCACTTGGAAGACAGAGGAAGGAGGAACTCTTGGTTTATATAATGAGTTCCAAGACATCCAGGGCTATGAAGAGAGACCCTTTTGAAAAAACAAACGAACAGATAGATATGTTGCTGTACACCTTCCTGGACACTGTGGATTCCAACAGACTGTGCAGACAAAGTCCTCTGATAGACTTAGCTGCTCTCATACCATGTCACTGAGTCAGTGGACTCAGTAGGATCCTAAACACTCTGACCTTCACCCCTGCCTGACTTCTTCCTCCTCATGTAGAGTCCCGCCTCTTTCTTTAGTCCAGAACTCAAGTCCCCAGCTACCAAAGAAAGACGGGTGGAAGAAACAGGGTCACAGAGGTTAAGCAACTTGCTTGCGTCATGAAGACTCCAGTCAAGGGTCTCACCCTGTGTCCTTTTGAGAGTCCTGGGGCCCCACAACAAAAGCTGGGTGAGAATGGCATGCAGGAGTTCCTAGCTCTCCAGTGAGCAGGACCTCCAAAGAAAGTGGCTAGCAGGGAGCAGGGAGGGGCCAGCAGAGACTGTCACTTAAGGGCATTGAACATCTTAGTGTCAAAGGAGAGGGAGCCTGGACTAGCTTGGGGGACTCAGATGAGTGACAGTCACCTCCACCCCTCAGATTTGTTTATTCTACAAGGACCCCTCCCAATATCTCATAGCCCAGCACTGCACAGGACAGGACAGGACAACACAGCACAGCACATTGTTGGGACACCAGAACATCCATGGACACGTCTTGAGCAGAGTCCCCAGACCCCACCCCAGGACCTCTGAGCTCTATGACTAAACTCCCTTCTCTGCCCCTGTGTCCAGAAGGTCAGAGTTCTATGGGAGGGTGTGACGTCTACCCTGGGGAGGTATAAGTGGCATCAAGTACAGACCCAAAGGAGGCCTGGTTAGTTCTGGCTTATGTTGAGTTTTGAAGATTCTAGCTCTGGCTTTCCTTTGCTTTCGTGAGCTAAGTCCTGAGCTCAGCAGAAGAAAGGCTTCATGCAATGTGGACGGCACAGGCAGAGCTTGTCCAGAGGCCTCTTTAGGTGGGTCAATGTGACCAGAGCAGAAGCTAGCCTGAGCTGTGGTTGGAGAGGCAGCTCAGGTCAGTGGAGCCCCCTAAAGGCTACTTCCCAAAGCTAGGATGGCTAGTGGACATTTTCAGGGTCTGGGTAGCCCAGGGCTCTGGAAGACATCTACTTCCCACTTGAATTTCCCAGCAGCAGGACTGACAGAAGTGATAATAGGGAGGTTCACTGTCTTCCTGATCATTTCACAGCTGGGGTGTGGGGGGATGTCTCCCTGATTTTCAGAAACTTGAGTGTGGCTTATAACCTACCCAGATTCCGTGCAGCAATGCAGGCCAGGGGTAGGCAATACCAGTGAGTGGCCAGCAGAGGGAGAGATGCTGTTCTTTTAGGATGTGCCTGGCTTAGAATAGGCTCAAGTAGGAGAGGACTGCAGCCTGCAGACTTTGTTTTCCACTTTTCCACTGGCCTTGCAGGATACCTTTTCTCTCCCAGTTCTGCTGCAAGCCTCTGCGCACACACACACACACACACACACACACACCCATCAAATGTGGTTATCTTCTGTTGACTTTCAAGTTTTGATTATTCATTACCACAATTTTACAAGCTAGCTTCCAGGGGTGGAAGTACCAAACAAAACTAGGACATTATTTATGACAGTACCACAGAGCTTTCCAAAGTCATCTTTACTGCTTCCCCAAGAGCTAACGGTGAGGAGTCAGGAGTTTACATAGCGGGAACTGTCCCTACTACATGTGAAAAGATGGGCCCAGGAACTGGATGATTTCATCATCCAGAATAAACATACTCTACACAGGCCAAGACCTTGGTAGGGACCAAGTTCTATGACCAGGACCATGACCTAGGATCACACCAATCATTGTCACAATCAGCTTGGGACAGTGCAGACCACCCCTCCCTGTCCCTGCCCCTGTCCCTCCCAGCGAGTAGCTTCCAGGAGAATTTCTCAATCCCTGTTGACAATCAGGACTAGATAAATCCTTTGTTCTGACTGTTCTCATGCCTGGCAACTACCTACTATGTACCAGTACCACTGTCTTCTGCTGTGACAACTATAAATGTCCATAGACAGACAGGGGTGGGAGATGGCAAACTCTCTCCCCTTAGTGAGAACCACTGTTCCAGAACCTGTGTCCTGGGTCCTAATCCCACCCCCATCAACGCATCCTTCCTTCCCTCTACCCTAAGTCTTTTTTTTGTATTCCACTTGCTCCACAGCCCCACCACCTTTAGCCATGCTTTTACCGTGCACCCTTGCAATACAACCCACCTTTGCAACAGCCTGCAAGCCCCTACATTCTGGGCTCCTACCTGACTTTCTTTCCACTTTTGCCATCCCAGTTCTCCAAACATAAGCCTTGTCGCCAGTGCAGGGGGCCTAATTGGAGCATACCCCCACTTCATTAATCCCCACCACCTTCCACACAGAGTTCAATAGAGCTTTGCGTTTGAACCTGGCTGCCTGGGCTCAGGCTGGGCTCTGCTCCTTCATTCGTTGTGTGAGCCAGAGAAAGACCAAGGGTCTCTCAGTTTCCTCCTTCTATACGCTGGGAGCACTGAGAACAAACTTATTCTCAGGGATGACAATGGAGGACAAAATAGGTTGTTGTGTGTACTGTGCCTAGCATGAAGTCAGTGCTGGGACTGTTTGTCCACTTTTTCTAGCTCCCAGGGCCTCATACAGGCTGTATGTCTTAAATTCTACAATACTGTGAGTGGTGAAACTTACAGTATTGTATAAGCCATAAAAAACACAACTTCAATTACAATCCCAGGCTGTATCTTGACTTCAAGATGTTTAGGATGAAGGGGGAATATAGCTTAGAAATGAGGGATATTTCCATAGATGGCAGGACCATGGTGTGGCAGGAAGGTGGGGCAGAGAATTTAACTGAGAATCTAGGGAGGCCAAACCTGTGCCCTGGGCCACATGGGGAACTACAAGCAGAGACAGATAGACCATCCAGCCTTCCCTTTATCCATCCATCTAGCTGTGAGGGAGGGTTACAAGGGAGTTGCTCCAGGCCCTGCATACATACATGTGCCCACCCAACCAGCCACACACACATGTATACACATACATACACACTTGAACACATATGCATCCAAGGAATAGACACTCACACCCAAGGCCAGCACCAGATACACTGAGTCAAGCCCTGTCTTCTTGCCAAGTAATCTAGGTACATAGGTAGGCCACAGACCCTTTCCCTATATGAAGATATTGATCCACTTGCCCTTGGGGCAGTTGCACAGGCTGTTGATGCAGAAGCCTGGGGGAGGGATTCCTAGAGTCCTAGATATTTCAGGGTTGATTAGAAAGTTTCAAAACAGTTTTGAATGCCCTGTGGCCTAAAGCAAAGGACTTCTGAATCCCTCCTGTGCTCTCTGCAGTAGATGGCAGGCCTCAAATCCAAGTCACCTCTGTGGTTTTGGGCAACTCTCCCATCCCCTCTGCACTCCATTTGCTCACTTGTGCAATGGAGTTATCACACTGCAGCCAGTCCCCAGGGCCCTGGTAAGTGTTACAAGGCAGCAGTACTGGTGCTTTGTGTGTCCTAAAAGAGCCAAAGGACAGTGGACTCTGAGGCATGTGAGCCACAGAAGGGTTGAAAAAGCACAGGGCACATGTGGAGATAGGACTGAGCTAGTGTAATGGTGCACTGTATGATGTTCGGGTCTTTTGTGCAGGTACAAAGAAGGACCTTGCAGTTAGAAGTAGTATTTTAGGACCCTTATTCAGAACTGAAAACGCTCATATGTATTAAGGGCCACATTGTTCATAAAAGCCAAAGAGTAGAAACTACTCAAGTTTCATCAGCTGATAAACAAAATATAGTCTGCCCATAAGGTAGAATATTATTTGGTCATAAAAACGGAGTGAAGAGCTGGGTGTTGGTGGCACACACCTTTAATCCCAGCACTTTGGAGGCAGAGGCAGGCAGATCTGTGAGTTCGAGGCCAGCCTGGTCTACAGAGCTAATTCCAGGACAGGCTCCAAAGCCACAGAGAAACCCTGTCTCGAAAAACAAAGACAAAAATAGAGTGAAGTATTGACCTGCAACACAGTATGAAAGAGACCTTGGAAATATGCTAATAAGCCCAAGAAGCCAGTTACAAAGGTCATAGGTGTATGGCTTCATTTATATGATATCCAGAACAAGCAAACAGGGAGTGATGAAGAACAGATTAGATGTTACCAGAAAGAAACGAGTCATAATGGATATGGAGTTGTGAGTGTGTTCTGGAGTCAGGGGTGAGGTTGCACAGCTGCGTCAAAGTGCACTTGACCCCACATTTTCAAAGCCTGGATCTCATAGTATACAGATGACACCAGTAAAAAATGAGTAGTCTCAGAGTCCAGCAACCTGGCTGCCCTCTTCCCTCACACCCACTGCCCAGTGCCAGGCCCAGCCAGCATTTCTCCAGATACCCACTACCCTGCTTGGCCACCCTCCTCTCCTCTAACAGAGCTGAGGGAGCTGCAGAGAGACTGGTGTGTTTCACCAACTCCCCTCTTCTTTCTTTGCCCCCTGGGAACCTGCAACAAGCCTTCAGGGAGGTGTCACCACTGTCTTGTTAGCAAAGAGCATCAGAGACACCAAGGAGCCAGTCGGGCACAACACTGACATGAGCTCCTGAACGCCTGGCTTAGGGCTGTTTCTCCTCCAGTGGGATCCAGGAGAGGACAGGGTTGGGTTGGAGGTGCCTTCCTTCTGAGGGAGCTGCATCCACCCCTCCCACTGCCTGCCTTCCTTCTCTCCCTTGTTCTGCTCTTCCCAAAGCAGCACCTCTCTCGTGTAGGACACACAGCCTCTAAGCCTCACTGAGAACAGTTAGCACAGAAGATAGCAGTAGATACCAGACTGGGCTTCAGTGGGACAATCACTCTCCAGAGCACACACTTGCATGTGTGTATGTAAACACATATGCAAATGCCAGCTCACTTGGTCCCCATTCCCAACAGAGTATTTCTCTATACACAAATGCCTTGTTATCAAGGGTACAATTATTCATTTGTTCATTTATTTATTTAAAGTAGTAATGTGTTCTTGTTCAAAATTCCAGAGAACCAAAACGCAGGGGTAAAAGGCTATTTTAGGGCTGGGGACTAGCTCAGTCAATAAAGCGCTTGCCTCTCATGTCCAAGGACTTGAATCTAATGCACAGTACTAATGTAGAAATACCAGGTTGTTTAATCCTTCACTGGGGTGGTGGAAACAGAGGATCCCCAGGATTCAATGGCCAGTCTAGCCTAATTTGTGATACCTGAGACTGTCTGTGACTTACACACACACACACACACACACACACACACACACATGGTCCCTACTCCCCTATTCTAGGCATATCCATCACCCCAGAACAACTCTGACCACCAGTGTTTGGTGCGGCCCCCTCCGCTCAGTTGCCATGTTGTACACTTTGTCTTGCTCCTTGCTGTTCACTTATCAAGCTATCCTGGCTTCCTCATACTCCTCTGTGGCTGTAGTCATCCCTTGTCTGCCTCATTCTTGGTTTGACCAGACAAGTTCCTGATACTAGCAAAAACTGATGCCTCCGTGAATGACATTCCTCAGATGGCATTTGACCTGAGTGCAAACAGTCCTGTAGCCTAAATCCCTCGGCAGTGGGGCTGCTGGGTTGAGAGAGATGTTCTTTTTGTTTTGTTTTCCATAAATTTCCAATTGTTTTCACAGAAGTGCAGTTTGAATAGCAAGTGTTCCCACGCATGAAACGAGGAATGAGCACCATAAGTAGGATCCTGCGTAAACTAGAGCTCTGACCCGACTGGGGTCTCCGTCTTCTCCTAGGTCCCCTCTGTACTAGGGGAAGGGGCTGGGCCTTGTCTGGGAAGGCCACGGCCTCTCTGCCTGTGGCTCCTGTTGCAGGGGCCTGTGGTGCTCTGAAGGGTTTTGATGGACTCTGTGTGGCAAGGGGATTTCAGAGGTCAAGTTAAGATGGAAGACAGCAGGATTGGAAGCTCTGCAGCCTGGATGGGTCTGCAGACAGGCTCAGGGTCCCTTCCTACCTCCAAGCTGCTGAGGCCTCTGTGGCCCCAGAGGCAGCAAGAAGAGTCCTCAGGGAGACAGCTGCTCTGAGTTTCAGGTTGCTGACAGGATGACAGTTCACCTGGCAAAGCTTAGCCAGTGGAAAGGGCTTCCTCTCTCCCAGAGGGTATAAAGTCCCTGCCACCAGCCCTACCAGGAAGCCTCCTGCTCAGGGAATGCCAGGTGGATATGGGCTACTCTTAACTTTTGTAGCTGTGGCTCTCAGAGCACAGGGCACTGAGAAGTAGAGAGCAGAGAGGCAGAGAGGGAAGGGGCTGGTCCCTTCTCTAACATGGCCTCCAGCAATAACCTTTGGACAGGCAGAGCACGCAAGCACATACATGCGTGTGTGATGGACCACCACCAGTGGAGATCAGAGAACAGTCAGGCATTGCCTTGCATCTAATTTGTGACAGAGCCTCTGCAGCTTCTACCCTGACATGCCAGGTTAGCTAACCTCCAGCTTCGAGGGATTCTCCCGTCTCTGCCCCCATCTCACTGCAGTTGCCATTCATGCTGTGTCCGAGTTTGACATGGGTTCTAGGAATCCAGACTCAACTCTTGCGCTTTCACAGCAAATGCTTTTACACAGTGAGCGCCTCCTCAGCCCCCTCCATGCTTATGCCCTCACCCCACTAGAACTGTTTAATGACATGTGGCTCTCAATCCCTTGCTGCTGTAACTCTGGGCCCTCGATGCTTCAGGCTTGACCAGTGAGGGTACATTTCTGCCCTGGCATAGCGAAGAGACTTAATGCAGTTGGAGTTAGGGTCTGGCCTTGGAACAGCAGAGACGCTCACATGATCCAGGAGTTCCACAGGACTAGAGCCAGTCTCAAGCCCACACACTCTGTCAACAAGATCAAAATCTATTCCTTGTCTATCCACTCCTGGAGTGGATGGGCCAACTTGTCTTTTGGGTGAGGTTGAGATGGAGTGATCTGAGCATGGTGATGTCCCATGTGGCCCCCATGTCCTTCACTTGTGTCTTCACTACTTTTCTATTGCTATGAAGAGACACCATGACCAAGGCAACTTAGAGAAGGAAACATTTAACTAGGGGCGTGCTCACAGTTTCAGACCTTTAGTCCTCGTGGCAGGAGGCATGTGGCATGCAGGCAGACATAGGGCTGGAGCAATAGCCAAGCACCTTTCCTCAAGTTGGAGGCAGAAAGAAAGCCAGGCTGGGCCTGGTATGGGTTTGTTTTGTTTTTGGAGACAAGCTTTCTCTGTAGCTTTGGAGCCTGTCCGTGCTCTGTAGACCAGGCTGGTCTCAAACTCACAGAGATCTGCCTGCCTCTGCCTCCGGAGTACTGGGACTAAAGGTGTGCACCACCACCACCTGGCCTGGTGTGGGTTTTTGAAATCTCAAAGTCCACTCCCAGACACACACTTCCTCCAACAAAGCCACACCTACTAGTCTTTCTCAAAACTGTTCTGTCAACTAGGGACCAAGTGTTCAAATACATGAGCCTACAGGAGCTATTGTCATTGAAACCATCACACCATCCTACCCAGTAGCCAGGAATTCCAGTCCCGACTCACTTGAACCTCAAAAGGACAAGGTGTTCCTGGAACAAGGTCAAATGTTCCAACTTCACACATAGGCATGGGCGAACAATTTGCCCAAAGCCAACACCCAGCCTGTGAAACCTCCAGCACCTGTGTGTATCACCCACTGTCCCACACAGCCTCTCTCTCTGCGGAAGCATCCAGGGAGCTCCCGCTTCCGACGAACCTGAGACTCAGAGTCCCAGAGTTACACGAGCCAGTAGCAGAGCCAGAGCTGGCATACGGACCCTGCTGTTTGTCACTAGTTTGCTGTCTCCTGCAGTTGGTCAAGACGGCTGAGCTGGACCCTTCCCGGAATTATATCGCGGGCTTCCACCCTCATGGAGTCCTGGCCGCAGGAGCCTTTCTCAACCTGTGTACTGAAAGCACGGGCTTTACCTCGCTCTTCCCAGGAATCCGCCCTTACCTGATGATGCTGACTTTGTGGTTCCGGGCCCCCTTCTTCCGGGATTACATCATGTGTGGGGGTGAGTCACCTTACTCCAGACCCAGGTAGCTCAGGAAGATGAGGCTGCTGGGTGGGCATGGGGATCTGGGAGAGTGCTGTCAACAATTCTGTGTTCCTTCCAAGTACTTGTTCAGCAACAGCAGAGGATAGACCCAAAGGAGTTCCCACATCGCTGTGCCGGGAAAGCCCATGAGGGGGTGGGAGGAGGAAGAGGACACATGGAGGGGTGGGAATCCTGGCTCTGTGGACATTGCCGATAGTTCCTTTCTTGGGCTGCTCCTGTCTTCACCCGGTATCTGACCCACCTTGCTCTCTCCCTAGGGCTGGTCACATCAGAAAAGGAGAGTGCTGGTCACATCCTGAGCAGGAAGGGTGGTGGGAACTTGCTAGCCATCATCATTGGGGGCTCCCGGGAGGCACTGGACGCCAGGCCTGGAGCCTACAGGCTGTTGCTAAAGAATCGCAAGGGCTTCGTCAGGCTCGCCTTGATACATGGGTATGGAACTCTGGGATCAACACTCTGGGTCCTTTGGAGGCTTGTATTTTCTTGTGGGAGGTCGGGGACAGCAAAGATGATTATAGCTTCTGTTTTGTCAAGAGAGATTCTAGGGGCCATATGATGAAAATTCTAACTTGGTGTGTCACAGCCAAGTTTCTAAATACATTTCCATAATGGGAGCTGGGGGAATCAGTTGTACTTCGTGACAAGGAACATGTTTCCTACTGCTGGTGTGAACCCTGAGACCTTTGGGGGTCTGGAAGGATGGGGCTGGGAGCTTATTTCCTGCCAAGCTGCTCACCCACCATGGGGAGAGGCATTTTTGAAGAAGTCCAGCAAGCTGCCACAGATTTTTTTAGATGAAAAGTAGAAATGTTTTATAGCCAGGAGGATGGTCTAGAGCATTCTGGTCTACCTATCATGATAGCCACATGAGAGATTGGGGGCCTGAAAGGGCACTCTGAAGGTCAGAGAGGGGTCAAGGCAGGCCTGCTCCTGTTCCTGGCTGCTGAGTCCCTTGCTGGGTAGCCTTTCCATCCATGCCTTTCTGGATTCTCCCATACACCCTCTCCTGGATCCCTCTAGGGCAGCGCTATTGCCAATCTTCTCCTTTGGGGAGAACAACCTGTTTAACCAGGTTGAGAACACCTCTGGCACCCGGCTGCGCTGTGTCCAGAATCGACTACAGAAGATCATGGGCATCTCCCTCCCGCTCTTCCATGGCCGCGGTGTCTTCCAGTACAGCTTCGGCCTCATGCCCTTCCGCCAGCCCATCACCACCGTAGGTGAGCTGAGATCCAGACCTGCCATGGCAGGATGCAGGAACAGGGCCTGTGCTAGATACAGTGCACTTGAGGATGGGAAAGATAGCACCAGCATCCTCATCCTCATGGGGCTTGCATTGGGCACACCCTACCAGAAGGCAATCTGGGATAAGAGCTGTAGTAGACACAAAGGTACTAATGTCTGAGTACTTATTCTTAATGAGAGGTACTGATGGCTGAGTACTCATTCTCATGAAGAGACAGCAGGGACCTGCTGCTGGGTGTCAGACATTACACTTGTCATTTGTCATATTCAAACTTGCTTTGTCCTAGCAACCTTTGAGTTAGGGACTATTATCTCCATTTTATTGATATAAAGTAAGGCCCAAAGAAGTTAAATGATTTCCAAAAGCTCACATTGCCTTTGAGGGACAGAGCTGAGGTTGTAACTGGAATCTGTCTGACCTTTGTTAGGCCAGAGAAGGAGGGTTTGACTGTGATCAGGATGCACTAATGAGGCTTGTGAAAAGAAAGCAGAGAACAGGAATGTTAAAATTCCATGCAGGGATGGGGAGCTGGCTCAGTCAATAAAGTACTGGCTGAGCAAACTAGAAGATGTCAGTTTGACCTCGAGTGCCTATATACAAGCTAGGCACAAGGCCTGGTGGTGACTACTGCAATCCCAGTCCTGGGGGACCGAAACAGGAGGATCTGTAGGACTGGTGGCTGGCAGTCTATGAGTTGTTGAGCTACAGGGCTAGTGAGAAACATTGTCTCCCCCCCCCAAAAAAAAATAGGATGAAATATGACTGAGGAAAATGCTCAACATTGACCTCTAGAGGCTTCATATGTGCTCGCCCATGCACACAAACACATATATGTACATAAAGATTGTTTTAAAATTTGTGTGCCAACTAATAATCAATGGACACTGAATTAGACTCTGGGGCTCTCCCTGTAAGAAATTAACATGAGCCCGGGCTGTGGTGGGGCACACCTTTAATCCCAGCAATCAGGAGGCAGAGGCAGCCAGATCTTTGAGTTTGAGTGCCTAGCCTGGTTTACAAATCGAGTTCCAGGACAGGCTCCCAAGCTACACAGAGAAACCCTGTCTCCAAAAACCAAACCAAACCTAATAATAATAATAATAATAGAAGAAGAAGAAGAAGAAATTAACATGAGCTTTGGTATATAGACTTAACACGATTTTCAGCTATTTGCACACCTCTTTTGTTTTCTTCTTGGATTCTTATTTGACATTTGTAAAGAGAACTCTATTCATTTCAACTCCACCCATCCACCCACACATTTGCTAGTTGAGCACAGATTTGGTAACCCTTGCATCATGGCCTTACTGGCTTGTATGACAATGTCCTCATGTATTTGAATGTTGTTGCTGCTGCCTCTAGAGGTATTTCCAAGAGGAGAGGGCACTGCTTTCCCAGCCACACAGATTTAGACGTTTTATGAGTCTGTCTGATTTCTCCCTGTGACCAGGGAGCATTGCACATCCATGCACATGGCAGTGAAGGAAGAAGGGCTCTCTGGGCTGTGACACTTTCACCCCAATTCTAGAAGTACAGGCACCTCCAATTCTGACACATTGAACTCTCAGGATCACATGCCCTGGAGGTGGTGTGCATCCCCAGCTTTTAAAACCTAGTACTGTTTCCACCTGGTTACTTGGATAAATTCCTTAACTTCTCTGAACTTCATTGTATCACCTATCAAGTAGGAATAATGAGAGGTTTTGTTTGCCTGGGACTAAGGGAGAGAATGCATATTGCCCCGTATATTGAAAGCTGGCTGTTAGTATACTAAGAGCCTGTGTGAGTTGTCCTAAACCTTGGAATTAAGTACCTGAGGACTGGGGAGATAGCTCAGCTGGTAACGTGCACGCAAGAGGAACTGATTTGAAACTCCGATACTTATGAAAAAAATCTGGGTGTGGTGGCACATGTTTTTAATCCCAGAACTTGGGAAGGAGAGACAGAAGGATCCCTAGGGTTCACTAGATGGCCAGCCTAGCCTAGTCAATTAGTCCCAGGCCATTGAAAGATTTGTGGTCCATAAACATGGTTGATGGCATCTGAGGAACATTACCCGAGATTAACCTCTGGCCTCCACGTGCATATACATGCAACATGAACTTACACTTATACACACACATGTAATGAGGGGAAGCGAGGGGAGTGGGAGATAGAATCCAGAGCGTCTGAAATCAGGGGAGGAGGGGATGGTAATAGGACACCTTGTGGGATGACCATAGGAGTGGGCCCTGCTCCCAGGACTCCTGAGACTGCAGGGGTGCTCATTCGGAGCCACTGTCCTCCTCTGTCCCTTGCAGTGGGGAAGCCCATCCAGGTGCAGATGACACCACAGCCCTCAGAGGAGGAGGTGGACCAGCTTCACCAGCTCTACATCAAAGAGCTATGCAAGCTCTTTGAGGAACACAAACTCAAGTTCAACGTCCCTGCTGACCAGCATCTGGAGTTTTGCTAAGCGCTTCTAGCCAGAGGACAGCTGCACCTGAGAGCCTGCAGGAGTGCTGCCACTAGAGGGGACTTCCACAGCCACCCTGAACTCCTACGAACCCAGCCACCTGGCAAGATGGGAGAGGAGGCAGCCCCTAGCCCTGGAATTTGCACCTGCAGCCAAAGCTCTGAGATCTCCCTGTCCTTGGCCTGTCTATTTGTAGTTTGTGTGTTGTGGGGGGGGGAAGTAGATAATTTATGAGGTCTCTACCCACGGTTATAATGTCTCTCAAACATGACCAAAGGACAACCAGGGAAAAAGAGAAAATTCTTCTTCCCTTACCTTGGAGTGACAGTGCAAAAGAAGGCAGCACCCCAACCTCCCCCACCCCCCACCCTCGTACATGCCCCTCATCCTGCTCCCTGGATGTCCCTTCTTCCCCTCTGAGCTGGAGACGAGGGGTAGCCAACTATGTCCTGGCACCCACCCTGTGTTTCTTCCAGATTCTGTGTCCTCTGAGCGCTGACATCAATATCAAAGGAGCCCAGAATGTAGTTAAGGAAGGCAGAGTCCATTTCTCCTTAACTGCCTGCCCATGTGAGGGTAGGTCTCCTTGCCATCCTTCCAAGTCTCAGTATCTCCAGCCTTGACAATCTGGGAGCCTCAGTGCTCACACCACGTGGGCTCCATTAGGGAGCCTATCACTCATGCTTTATAACAAACCCTACCCCCTGTGTTGGCACAGAAGGGCAGCTGCATACATGTTACTTCAATAAATGAAACTAGTCTGTTTTAGCTCCCTTCTCTTTCTTTCTCCCAACCAATGGGGCTGACTGGAGTCTCTGCTTGAGCCCTCAGCCCTATCCCAGGGCCCTAATCTCATCTCAGAACCTGGGTGAACCAGGTTGTAGAAGACCGTGTCAGTCTCCTCTTTCCCGACTTGTCACCCTGCATTTTCCACCTTGAAAAGAAGGAAGAAGGAACATGTCTGTGGGCATACCAACACATTGAAAGCCAGAGGTGATACATGGATGGCTGCGTGACTCCCTTTGGGTCATACTCTGGCCAGGAGAATTCTGGATCCCTGGGTTGGAGATACTAGACCTGCAGCCCAGGGCATGGCTGGATAGGAAGAATGCCTGACTGCCCCTCCTTTGTAATGGGGAGCACAGTCCCTTCCATGTAGGAGAAGTTTCTACAATCACTGAGAAGTATGCATGGGGATCCCAGCCCTGCCCCCACCTGGCCCCACTGACCCTAGGTAAAGGATCCACCTCTAAACCGCAGTTTTAGCATCTGACACAAGGATGGCAATATCCCACTCTAGTGTTGTGAGCAGTTCCCTAGACATAGAGTCACACCATGCCCTCTGTGGAATGCGGCACAGTACATAGAAATTAGTAGTTGAGGGACATGGGTGTTTAGCACCTTGTGCAGGCACCTGGGATTGAGAAGAGATGGTGTGGAACACGAATCTAGCAGGGTGTGGTGGAGCACACCCTTAATCCCAGCACTCAGAGGGCAGAGGCAGGTGGATCTCTGTGAGTGAGTCTGAGGCTGGCCTAGTCCACATAGTGAGTTCCAGGATAGCCAGAGCTATGTAGAGAGATTCTGCCTCAAAATAAAATAAAATAAAAATCACACCAGGAGCCAGTGGCAAAGGAGTCAAAGAAGGGAGTGCTGTCTTCAGATCCAAGGAAGATGTGAGGAAGTGGCCATGGGCAGGGCCTTAAAGAAAGGGCAAAATAGCAAAGGAGATCCATAGCCGTTACCAGCCACTGAGTTAGGGCCACCAACAGCTGAAAGCAGCGACAGCCTTTGTTTCTTCCAGTTCTGAGTTGTTTCGGCTCTGGTGCAGCTGCAGGGGGACACGTGGGTCATGTGAGGCTGGGCTGGCTGTACATGGCAATGGCAGCAGGGCACAGGGCCCAACTTTATCCTGAGTGCCTTTTTAGCACCCTGTGATGACTGGATTCCAAAGGAATGAAAGTCCTGGACTACACAGCATGCAGCGTCAATTCTAACCACACACCAGGCATCTAAATGATCACAAGGTCAGGAATCAGACATAGACTCCATCTGAGTGTGAGGAGAGGGGTGTCACATCACAGAAGGTGCTGGAGAGTGCTGGTGGCCATCTTTGCAAACTGTCCACAAAAAAATGTAAAAGTAAAAGCCTATGGCAGAACCCTCCCTCCTCCACCTCTCTCTCTCTCTCTCTCTCTCTCTCTCCCCATAACAAAGCCATTGCTTCCCAAAGGGCCCTGTAAACCTGGTGTCTATGGCCTGTCTCCATCTCCCCCTCCTTCTGACACCACTCTCCCCACTCAAAATCCTTCCATGACCTTCCATTGTGCCAGGCTAGGGCTCGTGCTAGTCTTGGTGTCAAAGGGAACCAGAGCGCAATCTGAGGAGGGTTATGCTAAAGATACAATGTCTTGAGGTACCCACAGGTGTTGGAAACCACAATGAGTGGTGCCATAAGCAACAGCTGTCACCAGACACTGTCACCACCCAGAGGCCTAGAAAAACAAATGGAGGTATTAAGTCCCTGAGCCAAGCTAGTCATGCCCAGAGTTCAACCTCTGTCAAGGACACAGGCAGCTTAGAGGGACTTACCAGACAAGAGCAGGAAAGTCTCTGTCTCCATACTCCCCCCTTCCCTTCATCTGTCTGCTGAGTCCCTGGTGCCTAGGTCCAGAGGAAGCTGGGCCTGTGACTGCATCCAGGCAGGTGAGCTGCAGCCTGGGGGCAAGGCTTGAAGGGATAGATCAGTGGAAGACAGATGATGTATGTCTGCCTTGAAGCCCAGTGTCAGCTTGTCCTGACCCTCCTGTCCTGCTCTGGTCCTTGGTGTTTATCATAGTCCTTATCCCTAAACTTCTGTCATTGGGACACTATGACCATACTCACTGTCACCTCTGTGATCTTGCCTGAGCTGTTTCTCAGACTAGAATGTATCCCTTCCATCACCTTCCTGTTGCCTGATAATGCTTCAGCGTGACTCATCCAATCCAGGGAGCTTCCATAGTGCCTGTGGGTAAGTGCATCCTCTGGCTTCCCAGGGCTTCCCTTCCTCTGCCACAGCTCTAAACACGTGGTGGACACTGGGTACCACTGGCAGGATGTGAGTCCACTCTCGCAAATAAAACCCAAGTTTCCAAGGTCCTCTTCAGTACTTGGGATAACATCTACTCTATGTCTGGTCTCGCTTCCCTCCGGCCTCTTTTATCTGGCCTTAACCTCTGCAGCCTGCACTGCACCTCAGGGCACACTGCCGTGCTTACTCCATCTTAGGCACCTCCTGTCCCTTCAGAATACTCTTCCCTTTGATCCAGTCAGTGTTGCTTACCCCAAGTCACCCCTGTGTCACACCTCAGTCCACTATTCTCTGAGTCAGGATGGACCTTTAGTTCTGAAGCAGAAAAGGCTCATGGTCACCAATACATGAATGAAGGCATGAGGGGACTTCTCTTCCCTCAGGGGTTTGGGAGCCTCTGAGACTCAAGACCTATGCTTAATGTCTACACAGAGACAGACAGACGCACACACACACACACACACACACACACACACACACACGATTTAGAACCTCAGCAATCTTCTAAGGGAAGCTGGCAATTTGGCCTATACTGCATTCTGGGCTTTTATATTTGGAGATGGTCAAGACTATTAGCTATTGCTGCCTATAACAAATTGTTTTAAGTTATCTGCTTGCTGGCCAGTGGTGGGATGTGCCTCTAATTCCAGCACTCAGGAGGCAGATGCTGTCAGATCTCTGTGAGTTCTGGACCAGCCTGATCTACAGAGTTAGTTCCAGGACAGCCAGGGTTAAAAAGGGAAACCTTGTATCAAAAAAAAAGTTATTTGTTTTAAGCAATACTTTACTGACTCCAAGTTTCTGAGGGTGGACACCTGGGAGTGACTTGTGACTTAGCTGGTGGCTCTGGCCCAGGGACCTCCCTGAGTGGCAGCTAAAACTGCTGGCTTCACTAGCCTTCCAAAGATTGCACAGGGTCTGGAGTGCTTACCTCCACACTCACTCACATGACTGATAAGCAAGAGCCTCTGTTCCTCACCAAGTGGGCCTGGGCCTCTCCATGGGCCGCCAGTGATGGGGCTTCTAGAGCAGGCCAGTAGGCCAGTGGGGAGAGAGGGGTCACCTGCCTTTTATGACCTCTGAGTCACATGAGTCTGATGTGCCCTCTGTCTTGGTTAGGTGTGAGTCATTCTGTGCACGTCACACTCCCTGTAGGGTGGGAGGACAAGAAGGTGGCAATAGTTGCCACAGTAATGGGACGAGCCCTCAGACACTTAGCTGGGCTTTCCTGACTCCTGTGCTGTAGCTTGAGGCCAACGACCTGTAAAGCACTGAAGGACAGACACCTTGCTAGCCAAGGAGAGGGACAGACAACCCTCTAGCCAAGGAAAAAGCATGAAGATGGGTGGGGCAGGTGTGAGCAAAGGTTGGAAACAGGAGTGACAACCATGACCCTGGCTGGCTGCCATGGAGGACAGGGTGGCCTTAAGACGTGCCGCTGCCAAGATGGAAACAGGAGGAGAAAGACTTGAAGAGGACCCACCCTCTCTCACATGACCTTAGAATCCCTGTGTTGAGACACCAGCAGCGCAAGCCAGGAAAAGTGCGGAGCCCTGCGTGTGTTCAACTTAAAGGACACTTTTTATGGGCTGAGAGTATTGCTTACGGCAGGTGGATTCCCTAACCCTACACGTATAATGGGCTCAAGTACTCACTTTCATGTTCCCACACCTCCTGGCCCTCTCGGCCTCCCTTGGGGTGCTCCACTCTGTGGGGAAGGCAGTCTCCTCCACCTCAGTACACATGCATATACACTCAAGATTTGTCAGTATGATACAGAGGGTCTGAAGTCCTCAAACGATGGGGACAGCTGGAGTCTCCTCTGGAATCAGGCTGCCCTTTGACCCCAGAGAAGTTCTCAGACACCATCACCCAAGGGGGCAAAGGGCTTGCTGAGGCCCAGCCTGTCTGATACTGCTTGCTGATGACTTGAGCAGAGGAAGCAAATAGGACAGGAGTCAGTCAGCCCAGTAGAGCCTGTGGCCAAGTGGCAAGGGTCAAGGCTCAACCTCCCACGGGGGGGGGGGGGGGGGATGAGGGGCAGGAAAGGGCTCAACTTCCTCACGACACAGAACAAGGCAAGGAGGTAGGAGGGGGTGTCACTTTGCT